AAAAAAAAAATGAATCAATATTCCCCTATCAAAAGACAAAAGAAAAACCATATGGTTATCTCAATAGATGCAGAACAAGGATTTGATAAAATTCAACATCCATTCATGACAGAAAAAATCTCAGGAAACTAAGAATAATGGAAGCTCCTCAACCTGAAGAAGGGCATCTGTAAAATCCTACAACCAACATCATACTTAATGGTGCGAGACAGAGCTTTCCCTCTAAGGTTGGAAAAAATGCAATGATGTTTGCTCTCTCACTTCTATTCAACGTAATACTGGATGGTCTAGCCAGTGCAATAAGGCAAGGAAAAGAAACAAAAGGCATAAAGATTGCAGATGACACTTATTACATAGTTACAATAATCAAGACAGTGTGGTGCCAGCAAAAAAAAACAGACAAACAGACCAACTGAACAGAACAGAGAGCCCAGAAACAGACCCACATAAACATAGAGTAAACTGATCTCTGACAAAGGAGCTGGGATACTGTGATTTATAATAAATGTATAGTTCGGTCTTTGTCCACTGTTCCTGGCTCACAGCTCCCCAAACTTTGGAATTTCCTAAGTGACAAGAGCAATGGGAGCATCTTTTGTTATAATATTTGGTTTTTTGTCCTCAGTTCCTGAAATCACTTCAGAGCCATAAAGGTGAAATGGGTGTCTTGTTATTCATAACAAGCCCCTTTCCACCACAACTGGGTTTATGTTAATGAGGTGACTTTTGGGAATCCCCTAAAGATGGGGGGCTGGTTGCCATGGGAACCAATTATGATTTAAGGGTTGGAACTCTGAGCCCCACTCCCTGATTTCCAGGGAGGGAAGAGAGGCTGGAGGTTGAATCAACCACCAATTGCCAATGATTTAATCAATCGTGCCTAAGTAATGAGGCCTCCCTAAAACCCAAAAGGATCAGGTTCAGAGAGCTTCCAGGGTGGTGAACCAGAACACTTCCATGTGCCACCATGCCAGGGCCCAAACTCCACAGGGAAAGAGGACCTCGCCCTGTGTATCTCTTCATCTGGCTGTTGATTCGTATCCTTTAATACCCTCTGTAATACTGTCAACCAGTAATCTAGTGAGTTAACTGGTTTCCTGAGTTCTGTGAGCTGCTCTAGTAAATTAATCAAACCCGAGAAGAGGGTCATGGGAACCTCTGATCTATAGCTAGTCTGTTAGAAGCACAGGTTATAACCTGGACTTGCAGTTGGCATCTGAAGTGGAGGGCAGTCTTGTGGGACTGAGCCCTTAACCTGTGGAATCGGATGCTATCTCTGGGTAAACAGTGTCAGAACTGAGCTGAATTACAGGACACCCAGCTGGTGTCTGAGAACTGCTTGTGGGTATGGAAAAGCCCACACACAACTGGGTGCAGAATCTTAGGAACAAAGGCAATACAATGGAGCAAAGATAAGTCTTTTCAACAAATGGTGCTGGAACAACTGGACATCCGTATGCAAAAAAACAGAAGTAGATACAGAGCTTATACCCTTCCCAAAAATTAACTCAAAATGGATCAAGGACCTAAATGTAAAACACAAAACGATAAAACTAGATGATAACAGAGGAGAAAAATCTAGACGACCTTGGGTTTGGTTTTTTAGATGCAACACCAAAGGCATGAACCACGAAAGAAAAAATTAAGGTGAACTTTGTTAAAATGAAAAATTTCTGCCCTACGAAAGACACCATCAAGAGAATGAAAAGACAAGCCATAGATGGGGAGAAAGTATTTGTAAAAGACATATCTGATAAAAGACTGCTATCCAAAATGTGCAAAGAACTGCTAACACTTAACAATAAGAAAACAAATGACCTGAGTAGAAAATGAGTCAAAGACCTTAAGAGACACCACCAAAGACGGCAAATGAGTGTACAAAAAAAATTCAATTGTATATTCATATACTAGCAATAAACAATTGGTAAATGAAATTTTAAAAAGTACTATTTACAATAGCACCAAAACACATGAAATAATTAGGTATAAATCAAACAAAATATAAGATTTATCTGCTGAAAACTACAAAACACTGATGAAAGAAACCAAAGACCTAAATAAATGGAAGTATATACTGCGTTCGTGGATTAGAAGGCTCAGCATTGTTAAGATTCCAATTCTCTCCAAACTGATCTATAGATTCAATACAATCCCAATAAAAATTCTAGCAGAATCGTTTTGTAGAAATTGACAAGGTGATTCTCAAATTTGTGGGAAAGGCAAAGGGACTAGAATAGCCAAAACAATCATGGAAAAAAATAGAGTTGAAAGATTCTTTACTACTTGATTTTAAGACAAAACACAAAAAACTATGGTAATCAAGACAGTGTAGTATTGGAGAAAGAATACACACATAGATGAATGGAACAGAACAGAGTCCAGAAATAGACCCATAAAGTCAACTGATTATCAACAAAGGTCAAAGGGCAAGTCAATTGAGAAAGGATTGCCTTTTCAACAATTGGTGCTGGAACACTTACCTAAAAACTGAACCTTGGAACTGTTCACTAAAAAAGGGAAATTTTACTATATACAAATGGCACTTAAAAATATCCGTTAAAGTGGTATGGTATTAGGCTAGTGGATTCTAAACCTGGTTGTACTCAGAACCACCTGGAAATCTTCAAAACAACCAAAAAATTCCTAGACTCCATCACAGATTTTTATCTTAACAGATGTTACATTATAAGGAGTTCAGGAAAAAGGTGGATAAATTAAAATCCTATTATCTCAAAGACTCTTTGAACAGCTTATAAAGTTGTTAGTAGGGACAATAAATTAACTATTTAAAGTTCTGTGTAAACATTGCTCAATTCCAGTGAAAGCAAAGGGTCATCATTTGGTTCCCAATCTAAGCAAGTCTTTAAAGAATATTTCTAGCATTCAAACCTAGAAGTTCAATTTTTACAGTACTGGTTTCTAATAAACAAACTACTTTTTAACAAACTAAGTATTATGAAACAAGCTTTAAACATAAAGTGAAATCCATACTGAAATGTGAATACAATGTAAACAATGTTATTACAAACACTCATATAAGCTGTGTTATGAATACTAATTATTGCCACTTAATAACTATCGGGAGTCAGCTTTTTGTATGAAGTTCCCAAATAGTTCTTCTAGAGGATTACTGCAGAGGCTGCCGGAAATACTGTTTGCTTGTATTGATCTCAGCTGGGAAAAGCAAATGGAAAACAGAGCTAAACTTAGACAGTAAGCTGTTAAAAGTCCCACTTTTCCCCCCAAATCTTTGATATCCTTCTTTTCAGCCCTACTTTCTTCTTCCTCAACGGGTGAATAGCAGACATCTGGGAAATCAGAAGGGAGGCGCTCAGAAGGCTCTGGGGACAGAGCAAAGAAACGAGACTTAGCTGCTCAGTTCCCTAATCCATACTTCCCAATTCATGCAGATGACTGATCTGTTAGAGAAGGTAGGAGACCAGAAGGACCTGGCCAAACGAAGGTCCTGAGTGAAAAAGAGGGGGGTTGTCATCCAAAAGGCCCCAACTTATAACAGGCAAACTGTTTAATCAGCCCCGACTGAAACAGCGGGCTGCTCCCCCTGCTGGCAGGGGAGAGCATGTAGTAAATTCTGGCTCAACAAACAGCCACAAAAATGCAGTTATGCCGCACTCTACCGTCAGACACACTTATGCAATTTTTCTTAAGTGTTAAAGAATGCTTAGCAGAGGCAAGGGGACAGAAAAATACTCCGTAAATATCTGATGACTAATAAGTTAAGATTTCCTGAAATTCTTTTCCCTGACAGATGTTGGGTGGGCGGTGTAATTCCAAGAAGTACTTTAATCCCTAGGTTTTAGGTTTTCTATTTTACAATAAAAAGGAACTGAGTGTCTTTCAGCAAGTTCCTTAACCCTTTTGTGCCTTAGTTTTCTCATCTGAGAAACGAGCATGATAATTATACCTAACTGACAGGACTACAGTGCAGATTAAATGAGTTAATCACACAAATTTCTTAGACCGCTGTGTAGTACACGGTACACAGAAGACGCTCATAGTAGTTACGATGATTATTACTCTAAAAAAGGATTGACTGAGTGAAACAAGCCAAACACAAAAGAATACACTCTCATGACTGCATTTATATGAAATTCTAGAGAATGCAAATTAATCTATAGTGACAGAAGCAGATCAGTGGATGCCTGGTGCTGGGGATGAATGGGGGATTAACTGCAAAGTCCCACGAAGGAACTTTTGGGGGTGATGGAAATGTTTTACATCTTGGTTGCAGTGTGGTTACACAGGTATATACATTTTTCAAAACTTAAAATGGGTACACTTTATGGTATGTAGTCTATCCCATCTCCCACAAAAAGATGTAATAAAAGAGCCTCTTAGTATGTGAATTCTAGGAAGCAGGTTAAAGAAAAAAGGGTGAATTAATGGGCTTTAAAATTCTTTAAAACAACTTGGTCAACAAGCAAAAGGAGAAAAATCAGATCTCTTCAGCATATTAAGTTTTACCACAAAGCTGATTAGATTCATTGACACTTTAGAAAAGTTCTATTTATTTTTCAGGGAGAAGCTTAAGCTGATTAGGCATCATTTACTAGTTGCAGGGCAAATTTACCCGCGTTGAACTCCGGATCATCTTCCAGGACGGTCACGGCTCCTTCCACGGCGTCAACTGCGCTCCCTCCCCCCTTGAGGATGTTGTAACCAACGGTGGCGGCTCTGACGATGCCCTGGCGCACCTGCTCTGTCCGGTCCTTGTCGACAAGGTCGATTGCACCACCGTGGACCACGAGCACAGGATTCATGCCAACGGATCCTAGGGATCAGGAAGATGAAAGCGTCATTGCAAACCGATCCAAGAAAATCGCACCGGGCATCATCTCCTTGGGACACTCCCTTGGGGACAAGGTCCAGTTTCTGCTCCGCGAGACCGAGGGGGTAGGCAGGGGAAGAGATGGCTGGGTTTGAAGTTTGCAAGAAAATCCCAGAGTGCCTCCCTGGCGTCTCATGTGTCGTCGTCGTCGTCGTCCCCCCCCCCCCCCCCCCCCGCCTCAAGGAGGTGGTGGGGGCTCCGGGATCCAGAGCCCATGCCCCCTCCTCCAGGCTGCCATCTAGCCTCAGTTTCCCCTGAGAACCCTGGCTCCTGTCTGGCGCTGAGCCACTGGCCAGGAAACCGAGAACGAAAGAGTGAAAAATGGTCCCTAGAGCAAAAACTTGGAGTGAGAAAAGCTTTGCTAACTGCAGCTGTGCATACTCAACACAATCAACTGATGTTTAAAACTAACCCGGTCTTTCCGTCCCCTGTTAGTATACATGAGGGAGCTGTTTTTCCCAGGAAGTTAAGGTCCAGAGTCAAGATACAGTCTCACAAGGCCAAAGGTAGGCTGAAGATAAAAAACTAACCAGAAAAGTCCAGACAGGCAAGGGAAAAGAAATTCAGTCTTCAAAGCCGAACGCAGGCTAGTGGGAAGGCGCCAACCAGCAAGGTCACATGGCTCTTCCTCCCCTACCTAAAACCTCAAATAAAAACCCCTACCGTTTTCCCTTCGAGGAGGTGGATTTAAGTTTTAACTTCCTCTACATGTCTGGCTGCCTTTCGATAATAACGCTCGTTCCTTCCCACAAGCCTGAGTTCCCGTTATCTACCCTCCTGCACCGTGGTTAAATGAACCTGTGTTTGAGTTCGACAACAGCTTCTGCTCCATCCGCTCAAGGAAAGAGGCAGAATTCACAGCCTCAAGCAGTCTCCGGAGACGGAGGGGATGGAGAGAAAGCGGTGACTGTGTTTGAACTTCGCTCGAAAAGCCCAGAGCGGTCCCCTGGTGTCTCGCGTGCTCCCCGCCTCCTCCGGGACCCGGAGCCCATGCCCCCTCCTCCGGGCTGCCATCCGGCCTCAGTTTCCCCGGAGAACCCTGGCTCCCGCCCCGTGCTGATCCACCGGCCGAGGGGGAGCGGGGAGGGAGCTCGGAGACAGCGCTCCAGCCCTCGTCCCGGGCTCCACGTCCGGCCTCGGTTTCCCCGGAGACGTGTCCCCCGCTCCCATCCCCGCCGAGGGGCCCGGGGCGGTCTGAGGGCTGGACCTCGTCAGCACCCCCCGGCACCGGGGCGGGTGCTTCCCGGGTCTCGGGCGGCTGCTCCGGCAGGGCCGTCCACTTACCGACGACGCCGCGGAAGGCGGACTCCCAGCTGGTATCCTAACCCGCACAGCCCACACGCTCGGCGAGGCAGTCCCGGAACCCGCTTGGCTCGCAACAGCTCGGTTCTCAATGGCTCTGCGCCTGCGCACGAGGGCGCGGCCGCCGCGCGGAATTACCGTAAAGCCCGCCGAATGGCCTCCGCACAGAATTACCGTAAAGCCCCGCCGCTCGGCCGCCGCGCAACTTCTAGCACGTCTGCCGGGGTGTGCACTCCTGGCCTGACACTAGCTGTCTACCTCCCAGAACAGGGGCTGGGCTGGCCCTCCACCCACGCGAGCATCGTAGTGGGGTGAGGGGAACCCCTGTTCCTCCTTATGAGGCTGGGCGGGTTGGTGGTGTTGGTGGCAAGATGGGTAATTCCATGTGCCACGGTTTTGTAACTGAAAAATTGAAAAGCAACGCTGCACGAACTAAAATCCTTACTCTTCCCGAGATGCTTTGCAGGCTTGCTAGCGTGGGGGATCAGAATTTGCCGCCCCAAAATGTGTCTCTTTGGCTTGATTATTTTTAAGCACAAAAGACTCTGAAAGAAACTTTGACCTTTCCCCTAACTACCTAAAAGAATTTAAGGTAAAAGTCCTCTCATAAGTTAGGCCATGGGGGTAGATAAGTTTGGACATGATAGACTGGGGGGATCCTTGCTAAGCACATTTTTATATCAAAGTTCTCTCTCTCAGGTGGCTTTGTCCATAGGCAGCCAAGCAAATATTTTATCAAACATTTGCTTTTCGATCTCCATGTAAATTGCTTTCCTCCCCTTTGAACTCCCAAACCACTACTCCCAACATACCCATTTGTCTTTAGCAGAAGATGGTATTGAAGGTAGTGGTTTCCACTATTTTGGCAAGTTACTCAGTTTTCTTGGGTTTCTCCCACGGGGACATGTCATTAGCTTTGTTGGATTTTCTCCTGTTATTCTGTCTCACATAAATTTAATTGTTAGATCAGCCAGAAGGACCCAGAGACTAAAGGAATTGTCTTCCTCTGCTACAGTTTGGCAAGGAGGATGGGAGAAAACTCAACTGGCTAGACACGGCTGGTTGTGGTGTGGGACTACTGCAGCTGAGAGATCCTGGACCCCTGACAAGAGCCAGCAGGAGATAATAGTTCTTACCACGTCAGTCTCCCGGATCTTTGCCTGCAGGGTCCAATGGAAGCGAGAGTGGTGATTATTTTTTCCTTTTCTAAATTTAGATTAGCAGGAGAAAATATTGGTGACGCTAGCTCCTTGGCCTCAGTGCCTCTGGGAAATTTGGTTTGAGTACTCATTGGTTTATTGATCCTTGTCCTCCAAGGGATGATCACTATTTTTCCTTGTCTCTGTCTTTTTGTCATTTGTCATGAGGTTTTTCCTATTGTCTTGTTCTATGTCTTGACAGCTTGGCTTTGTGACCTCTCTGGTCTCCACCATCTGGAGGATGCATGTACAGGCATGCATCTTGGCGGCCAGTCAAATGGACTGTGGTTCCAAGATGCACTCTCTTTGTCTGGCTGTGTCACCTCTCAGGGGACATAAGGGGTCCCAGTCCATGGGGCCTTTATCATCTCAACCTTCATTGCTTGTTAGTGCACTCTGCCTGCGCAACAAAGTCCTTTACTTTCTTAGACTATTTTTGGGAGTGAACTTTCTGGATCTTGTGAGAGCTGCTGCTTTTGCACTCTTTTTTGGGGATGCTTCTTGCATCCATGGGTAAGCCATACAAGGCTTATTGGTTTGAGTTGCTATTAAGATCCTACTCATCAATGGCCAGACAATGAATCATTTAAATTAGAAAAACTTCTAAATTGGAAAAAATTTTTAGAGAGCTCACATCATAATTGTTTTATTGGTACCTATAAGAAGAGCAAATTAAAAAGAAAATACAAAAAAATAATAACTAGCTTTAAGACCATGACTCAGGCTACAATTATATTGAAAAAACCTTAAATGTATAATGGTTGATAGGATTATAAAGGTTGGAATATTTGAGCTAATATTATATGAAGAGGTTATATCCACTTTGCCTGAGTGTTTTTTGTTGTTGTTGTTAATCTGGCTGGGAATGCTTTCCCTACCCAATATTATAAGATGGAGACTTGTCGATGAAGTCCTAATGAAAGCTATGTTTAGAGGTATAAGAGCTGATGGAATTAAGTATTACATTTCTTTTGCATGATTGTATTATAAATTGTATTTGGAAATAGACATTGTGTCTCACTAGGGGAACGTTCCCCCAGTATTGATATTGTAAAACAGCATATAAATCTGCTCTTCAGACAATGTTAATTAAACATACTAAAGGAAGTCAATAGGGTTGTCTGAGCCCATACAATGTGAGATATTTTTCTACCTTTGGATGGTATGGTCAAAATTAAGAGCTCTATTTAATTGACTTAAAGTAAGCACTTATATAAATTATTTCCAAATGTAATAGAAACGAACTCAAATGTCTTTCAAGTTAATGTGATATAAAATAATCTTTGGTAAATGGGAGCTTAAGTTGTTGGTTTGATTAAAATAGGCATGTCCTCAGAGTTATCAGCATTGAATATGGTGCAGACATGCAGCTTAGGTTTACTAGTAAGATAAGCTCATGTTGTCTCTGTTACAAATTTGTCAGCAAAATAATAACTTAAAATGATAAACTAATTTTGTCTAATGTCTTGTGAAGTTTTTGTGAGTAATCTGAACATAATTATTAGAAAAAAGTAACCTAAATAGATGTAAATAAGATGAAAGTCTTGGGGTGAACTTTTTAACAATAATTATGTGTTATGGTATATGTACTTAAAATAACTCCAAAACCTTTTGGTGACTTGAAACCTTCGAGTTTTGTTAAATTAAGTTAAATAATAGAAGTTTATTAAGTATCTAGGTCATTTCCAAATAAGGTAAAACATTAGATGTTAATCACTAAATATAGGTTTATCTACTTTTGGCTTCTTATTACAGAGAAACCAAAAGATATCTGGGTCTATTAATAAACATGTCTTGTGTTTTATTGAAAAGATTGTACTATGAAGTAGCATGTTTCTAGAAATTAGAAAAAGTATTTATAAACTTGCCAAGCCACAGACTGCTAATGTAAAAGACAGTGCATAATTGCTTACTTCTTAGTTTTCACTTAAAAATAAGATTTCTAAGGGTTAAAATTCTAATTAATATATGTTATTAAAGCTACTAAAAATTAATAAGGAAAACATATTTGCATTTGAGGAAAGTAACATGTATGTTTTCAGTAAAGAAAATATAAGAAATAAAGATATTTTGGGGGCCGGCCTGGTGGCACAAGCAGTTAAGTGCACGCGCTCCGCTGCGATGGCCTGGGGTTCACCGGTTCGGATCCCAGGCACACGCCGACACACCACTTGGCAAGCCATGCTGTGGCTGCGTCCCATATAAAGTGGAGGAAGATGGGCACGGATGTTAGCCCAGGGCCAGTCTTCCTCAGCAAAAAAGAGGAGGATTGGCAGATATTAGCACAGGGCTGATCTTCCTCACAAAAAAAAAAAAGAAAGAAAGATATTTTTGTTAAAAAGTTTACAGAAGGTTTATCAAAGAAAAACTCTAAGAAAAGAGTGTTGTGCATGCTCAAGTTGGCTAAGATTAAAATCAATTTAATTAAGTGAGTTTT